TGAAACACTTCATAGTGCTTTTCCAGTCACCCTCTTCCCGCCTGTTGTGTAGTACTGGAGACACAGCAGTAGAGATGCTACGCGCAGGTGTTCTTTTAGAACTCATTACTCTTTTTTTTGAAGGAAATCAAAAAAAAGGTAAAAAAGAAAAAAGACAAAGGTATGTAAAAAAAAAAAAAAAAAAAAAAAACAATGAAAAAGAAAAAAAAAAAAACAAGAGAAGATAAGAACCAAGAAAAATAATGGGAAAATATATATTCTTTTATACATTACAATTATCTTAAAAGGAAAAAAAAAAAACAAGGTGGAACAAAGTTGAGACCCAATAAATACTTAAAATCTTTTGTCGCTTTTGGTATACTTTGCCCATAAAGTTAGCGTCCGTAGGTCCAGACACGATAGACGGACAAAAGTCCAGAAAATAAACCTGCTATACTGACGAGACCACGGACACTGTCCCATCTTCTTAGATTTGACGTGGCAACAAAAAGGTCAAGCAGCAACTTTAACTCGGTTACAAAAATCCAATGCAGCTCAAAATCCTTCCATAGTAGCTCTTGGTAGGAGCTCACCAAGACATCATTTGCTTCCACTACTTCTTCTTCTCCATTTTCTTCTATCATCTGGGATTCATTTTTCGTTTCTTTCATTTTATTTATAATATTTGGTTTGGCCATTCGTCGTCGTAGTTTATCAACACGATCATATCTAGACAACAGAGAGAAGGAGTCCTTAGAAAGCAAGAATTCTGTTTCTGTTGGCTGTCGTGACGCATCTAACATTCCCTGCAAAAGACGAAGTGTATTCAAGAATAGATCAATAAGCAAAACAGGAAGCGTACACCGGACAGCTAAACTGATAAGCTGATCAGACACTTGGCTGTTAAAGAAACCCTTTTGCGCAAGGAAAGCTACATCCTCACATAACGATTTAACGCACATTAGTGCTCGGGCAATCATATCACAAATCATTTGACACTGGATAAAAAGGGCAATCCATTGTCCACCATTAACAGGAATGTACACTAACTCTGAACATTTAATTAAGGTTACTCTCATTCTTACAAATTCTCCAACAAAACGTCCCACTCGAAATAGTCTTCGAGTGTTCACAATTGTCATTAAATTTCTTTCAACGGCAGTAAACTCCGCACCAGGAACATAATCAAGATTGTAATCCACCGAACTCATCCATAGTTTCACCCTAAGAAAGTATTGAACAACTTTAAACAGTTTATCCCTACCCTGATGTGTTTGTAAAAGTTGTCGTAGGCGCGTTTTAGCCGTTATATCTTCGAACGGGTTACTTCCCAAAACACGAAGAGTCTCATTTTGCATCGTTCAGCAACAAAAAATCAATCTTGCTAAGCAGACAAAAACAAAAACTAAAGTAACAGGAAATTCTATGAGTTAATATAAATTATATATACATAGAAAGAAAAACAGAAAAGCAAAAAAAAAAAAAGAAAATAACTGTATCATGACCATTAAGACTTCTAAGGAGTCCCATTATAAGATCAATAAAAATATATAAAGAAACACATACAAAAGCAGAGGAAAGAAAAGAATTAAAAAAAAAAAAAAATGACCTAACTGAATTCGTCTTACCAGCGAGAACTACCTCCGCTTTTTCACAAGATCCAACTCACCCATTGTAAGTGTGTTCATAAGCCAATCAACGCTGAGATTCCTGCATATTCTTAACTGAGTTGGATTCCATTTTTTCGCGCTTATTTTCTCAACAAGAACGTGTAGAGCATTATGAACGCCTCCAAGCGTCTTATCATTTTCCTCATTACCTTCCATTTCTTTTCGTATTCTTTCTTCTCTTTTCATTCTAGCATCAGTTTTATCATCAATTTTTAACTTATATACAAGTCTTCCACGAAATGTTCGTGGTCCTACAACCTCATCAGCATCTTGTACAGAAGAAGATTGTTCGCGATTTGAACCCAGTTCAAGAACGCTCCAAAGAGGTATCTCAGGTAGAGAAACATGGGTATCCTTTTGATTAAGGCATCCTTCTGAAATAGAAGCATTTTTCAATGGAACAAGAGTTTCAAAAACAGGTTCTTGCTCCTCTTTGCGAGCTTTTGTGAAATCATCGACAAATTCTAGCCAATCAATATCCTCATCAGAACATGGAAGATAATTACCCACACGGTACCTATCGATAATTGACATATGAGGAAGTTCATTATAGCGTTCGGTTCGTCTTTTTATTGTTTTAGGTAAAGATGGTAATCCTAAAACTGATTCAACATTTACTAAATTGTTCCAGCTAGCCCGAACCAATCCATCATGTAACGAAGACGAGAGTAATTCCAATTGACGTTCCGCATACCCAAGAGCCTCGCGCTCATCATGTCGCCAGAGATGATACTTTATGGCTTTATCAGATAGTAATATAGCATCTTTTAATGACTTTATAACGCATGAAACACCACGCTCATACACTTTGGAAGCCATTTGAAAATCTTGTGTAACACACTGCTCTGCAGCAGCCCATTGATGATATATTCTCCAATCACTCACACTATTAGCAGCTGCATTTTTTCCAACATCCCTAAACCGCTTTCTGTTTTGTAATGAATCCTTTGCAGCATTGGCATATAATCGTTGCTCAAAAATCCCCTCTTTTACAATATGCTTCGAAACATTAATTAATCCAGAGTCAGGTTTAGATAACAACGCCTCTAAAGATCTAAGAGCTATAGAATTATTACCAACATAAGTTAATCCTTTCTCAAGTATCTCTCGAGCTTGTGTTTCATCTTTTAAATCTACTGCAACAAAAGATGCGTAAGCATACCAACATACATCTTCTTGTGCGAATTGAGTACATAATTGTCGAAATGCCAATTCAATTCGTCGTAATTGAAGATCTTGGGGTATAGAGCATTCAACAGAGTAATCCATCATTGATCGCAGCAGATCATTCCACTGTACACAAAGAGCGTTTTTGCGGGAAATCTTGCTCATTCTAACATCTACAAAACGATCAGGCCATGTAGGTTCAGTTTTAAGAATTTCAGAAAATTGTACAACTTCGGAATAGGGTATACAATTTGGTGTTGTCTGTCCATTTCCCTTTGCTACTTCTAACTCAAAGTTTTTGTACTCTTTATATACTAGGTTCTGTTGATACAGAGGAATTCTTAAAGCCAGTTGAAATAGCTCTCTCTTTTTTTCTTCTTCTGAAATTAAACGAATAACCCTTAACCACAAAGATGCACTATGAGGATCAAGACCAACACCATGAATTGCCTCCAATGCCACCTCATCAGTAACAACAATACCCTTTTTCTCTGCATAATCAAAATATGCAATCCATGTCTCTTGATACACCGCATCTTCTATCATCTTCGCTATACAACTTCCTTGTTCTTCATCAGGAAGGTCGTACACCCAACGTGCGCTCAGTGCGGAAGAAGGATTGGATTTAATGTAGTTCTCAATAGGAAGAGGACACTGACAATCATCTTCATCCACATCATCTATACATGTGCGCATAACCCTACACCTTGGATGAATACAATACAGAAAAAAAAAAAAAAAAAAAAAAAAAAAAAAA